GTTAGCTTTGGCCCAGCTTTCTAATCTATTATGGTCATTTTGAATTTTTATCCTGTCCTCTGGGGTATTAGCTACAGTCATTCATCCATTGCTTGAAAATATTTTTTAAAAAATATAGATTCCTAAAAGCAAACCATTATTTTGCCATTTTATATGGGGAACACCATTTTATTATGCCATTCTATGTAGTGGGACTTGAGCATCCACAGATTTTGGTATCGGGGGCGGGGGGGCTGGAACAAAACCCCAGCAGATACCAAGGCCCCACTGTAATAGACTAGAAGTTGTGTTTCTGTTGCTTTTTTAAAATTTATTTTTAAGTGAATAGGGCTGCACAGAAGGAAGTGGTTCAAGGACAGTGGCCAGCCTGGATAAATGAGATCTTTTCTGCTAGTATGCACACCACCAGAATCTTCCAAATGTCATTTATATGGTTTTTAAAGAAAATGATTGCTGTATAGCAGCAACTATCATATTTTTATAGATTACAAACGGCTGGATAAGGTTTATAGCTTTAAATCTACCATTAAATGCAGCATAATAGATTTCAGAACTTGTTCTTTTTTTCCTTTCCCCCACTTTTTTTTTTTTTTTAGCAATGTCCTGTACATGCTTCAGAGAACTGCAGTGTCAGCAAGTTATAAGCTGGGCATGTATCCATGTTTTCCTTACTTTTTCAAAGAGTCATTGACCTTACAAAGGCCTGTATCGAAATGCGAAGAACAAAACGAGACTAGACGCTGCAGTATTTGGTGAAACTTCTTTCATCGTGCAGAAAAAAACAGGGCTGTACATCTCTCTGCAGTCATCAGAATACTTATTGTGTATTTTATGAATGTTCAGCAATTGGCTTTAATTAAAAAGTGCATGGGAAGGTATAAACTAGCCAAGCAGGCTATGGCAAGAGAAACATAAAGGAAAAGGAGAGAAAAAAATACTTGCAAGCAGCAGTGTCCCATTCCATCTTCCATTGCCAACACACACAGAACTCCTAGAACTGTACTTGATAACTTAAAATAGTTAAGATAGGTTTTTCACATTTATGGCTTTGACTTTTGTGGATCTGATTATCTGCAGTTTTGATTAATATGTTCTCTCTTCTGACGCAATTCTGCCAGAAGCTGACCATAGAGATGTGCTGGAGAACCTAGAAATTCCTACAGAAAAACACTTCTCTAGGCATTTGTAGGTCCTCCAGCATAATTCTATGGTCAACTTGTGGCAGATGTTGACCAGAGTTGAACTGGAGGACCTGGAGGTTCCTAGAGAGGGGTTTTCTCAGGTAAAAATAATAGTGTCTTTTTTATCTATAGTTTTCCCAAATTCACAGGGGTCCTTTATCCCTAATCCCAGTGAATGTGGAGGGACCACTGTACTCTACTTTTTTCACTTATACTACTTATACTATTCTGCAAATAATAAATAACAGGAATACTTTAGTAGTAAGTCTAGAAAACCACACTGATGAAGCTGATTGTAGAAAGCAGATTAGTAAATAATGATTATGAACTGATTCCTGGATGTACAGGTTGAGTTTCCCTTATCCAGAACTGTGAAATCTACAATATTCCAAAATTCAAAATTGCCCGCATGGGTGGCTGAGATAGTGACACACTTGCTTTCGAATGGTTCAATGTACACAAACTTTGTTTCATGAACAATTTTATTAAAATAGGGTATATGAAATAACATTCAAGCTATGTGTATAAGATGTATATGAGACATAAATGAATTTCATGTTTAACTTGGATCCCATCTCCAAGATATCTCATTATGTATATGCAAGTATTCTAAAATCTGAAAAAGCTTCAAGATCCAAAGTGCTTCCGGTCCCAAGCATTTTGGATAAAGGACCTGTGCTAAATCATACCCTTGTGTTTGGGTTGATTCATAATAAAATGAACCAGCTTGGTGTAATGGTTTGAGTGGTGGACTACGACTCCAAGAGATCAGAGTTCAGTCATGTGGATCCAATTGCTCTGAGTGCATCACACACTCTCAGCTTTAGAAGAAGGCAAAAGTAAACCTCAGAACAAATCTTGCCAAGAAAACTCTATGATAGTCAAAACCCATTAATAACAACAATTCATAATAGCCTCCCTTTTTCAGGGGGTCATCCCAAGACATTTCATTGCCTGAGGCGTGGGTCAAATGGCACTCATTTCCTTGTCCATGTACAGAATTTAAATGGACCAGTAAATGAACTTCAACAACATTAGTAAGATAGCATCCTTCAACATGCTTAAATGTTGGCTACATTCAGGCATCTAGGACAAACTGCATGTCACTCACAATTTTGTCCTTCAACAGATGAGAACAGGAAAATTCGTGAGAATAGTTAGGAGGTATCCACTGGAGGCAATCATCTCAGGCTGCTTAATGTTAGGCCTGGGCTACCACACTCATATTCACTAAATCAGGAAGATTTTATTCTTAAATATAATGCAAATGTAGGGAAACCCACCTTTTTTATTGTTCTTTACCACTATGTACAACAGGGTGATAAGAGATGATACCTCTATATTAAGTGATCCAAAATAAACAGCTTAAGAGAAAAAAGCAGAGAAGTTTTATGATGGGGATTTATCTTGATGGATAATGCAAATTTTATTTTAATGCTCTTAAAACTCCTGTTGAGGTGGAATATCAATTTGTTAAACAAAAATGGGGGTGGGTACATTTAAATCGCACTTACTGGGGAGAGAGCCTACTGAACAAATGGGACTTACCAGTATACCAGTACAGATTCATACTGCCAATATCCTCTTCATCAGCTTCTCAGCCAAAGAACTGCAATTACAAAGACCCTTTTTTATGGTTGTAAAGCACACACTGACAAATAACAGATGATCTCTAGAAACTAGAAATCAAGAGTGATGAAATCTCACATATGGTTGGAACTGTTAGATGTCTGTGAGGCTAGAAAAAGAGCCAGGACTGAGACAGATGAGAGGCGGAGATCTTTCAAAGACATATGCCCAAAGTGGCTTAGATGACAAGGAGAAAAAAATATAAATACAAATTGCCATGGTGGTATTTTTTGGGGGAGGGAAGGATCTGTAAACAGCAAAGAGTTGTCCCATTTGTAGCTCTTACCTCTGGAAACTATCATTTTAGACTACAGGTGAGGAACACTCATGACTTTCAAGATTGAAGCCCTGGAACCATTTTGTTCCTAAGGACTCACCTGTTAACTCTAAGCTGAGCTGCAACCCACCCAAATTGAAGGGGTACATGCCAGTATGAGTAAGGCCAAAAAGGACTCAGAGGAGCAGCATATTTTAGTTTGAAGATCTTACTATCACTAAGTAAATGTTGTTGTGTGCCTTCAAGTCTTCTCCAACTTTTGGAAACCCAATTGTAGGTTTCCTTGGCAAGATGTATTCAGATAAGGTTTGCACTGTCTTCCTCTGAGGCTGAGAGAGTGAAACTTGCCCAGTCACTCAATGGGTTTCCACAGTTGAGCAGGGATTCGAACCCTGATCTCCCAGAGTCCTAGTCCAAGAATTAAACCACTATACACAACGCTGGCTCCCAAGGAAGCATTAAGAGAAGAAAGACAGTAAAAAGGGACCTAGCCAAAAACTAGGTTAGTCTGGACTGGCACAGTAAATTTCATAGCCAAGTTGATATTTGAATCCAGGTCTTCCCTATCTTAATCTAGCATTCTAACTGCTGAACCATGCTGACTCTGAAGCAAATGTTCAGTGTTAATATATCTTCTTACTGGTATCACTCCAGACTAACCAACCTCACAGGAAACATATCTAGGGGTAGCTATGTTGGCCATATAGCAAAGTACAGTATCATCCAAAATCCACAAAACACCTTTGCCTGATGAAGAAGCCAGTGCAGTTTCAAAAGCTTGCAACATATATAATGTGCATTTTGGTTGTTGAAAATTCTGTCAATGAAGACATGCATTTCTGACTCTTTCAAATGCATCCAGTTTCATATACCATTTTCTGCCACATTTCAGACTTCTGCATATAGACTGAAAGGCTGGCAATTTGCAAAGATCCTCTCCATGTAATTAGGCTATCCCTTCATCGGTTAAAGGGGAGTCAGTGAATCAGCTGAAAGATCTGCAACTAGTTGATAGCCTTTGTGTGAGAACCAGTTCAGTAGGAGGTTGTGGGGAAAGAAAGGCAAGTGGTGTGATCGATTTTGCAAGCCTTATTGATATTCTTGTAGGTCAACCTGTGAGCAAGATGTATCCTGAAAGTGATCTGGAGCCTGTGAAAAGTCAAGGGTAGTTTTAACTGCTGACAGAACCCATCCTTCTAAATTCAAGGGAAGTGTTCTTGCCAATATGAAGTCTGATTTATTATTCACTGTTGCATCGCCAGTTTTGTTGCTGGGATCTTTCTCCTCCCTCCTGCCTCCTTTTCTATTTATATTTTTAGCACTCTGCCCTGCTTACAGAGCCTGGTTATCAGATGCCAGATCTGTGTAACAAGTCCTTGTTTTGCTAACCATGAAAAACAAGTTTCCAGTAACTACTCAACAAAGAAGCAACATTCCCAACATTTGGGCAATCAGTACAGACTTGGAATATCTAACAGGGCTTTGTGAGTATTAAAAGGTAATTTGACTTCTTCTGTGGTCAGGACTGTTAGACACACATTTCTTTCCTTTGGAAACAGGAGAAGAAACAAAAGATCAAAAGACTTGTACTCCCTCCCTTCTTCTAGCTGCAGCCCTGTGCAAACAGGGAGCAAAGTAAACCAGGCTTGTGATACAGTAATAAGATCCAGTGTGGTATTCCAGGACTGAAAATGGCCTGGGGTATGGTGCTCCCTTGAGTACTTGCTCAAAATGAAATTAAAAAAAGAGAAAAGTCTCTAATGGCATCTGATCTTATCTAGTCTTGTAAGCTAAGCAGGGTCAGCCCTGATCAGTACTTGGATGAAACGCTGCCAATAAATACCTGTTGCTATGGTCTATATTGCAAAGAAAGTGAGTATTCCTTACCTATCTGTGAGTATTCCTTGCCTAAGGAAACCCTGTGAAATTCATGGGGTTACCATAAGTTGACAGACCACTTGAAGACAGATGCAGAGAAATATTTCATTCTTGAGGCAGCCTTCTGTTCACAGCCCTGCACTTCACAATAAAATAAAACCTACCCTTCAGTTGTCCCAAACTGGTATGGATAGTCCTGATTAATCCTTTGCCCTCCCACCTTTTTCATCTGCTTTTAAAATGTCCCAGTTTCTCTCTTCTCTTCCCACATTCCCCTTTTGTCCTCAGTTGCTGCAGATTGCAGAAACCAGGGAAAATCACACCGCTGCAGCCTGTCCCAGAGTGTGAGATATTTTCATTAATAACATTTACCTTCTTGATGGTGACGTTGTTTTGCCTTATGTGTCCCAGGGAGTGCTTCCTCCCGATTACTTCTTTAACATTTCTGTACGTTTAAGAAGAATCTGTGCACCTGTGTGTCTTTCTACAGCGGAACTTGCCTCCTAGGTTTTTCTAAGACAACACTGAGAGGTAGACTAAGGAGGAAGCTAGCAAACAATGACACCCCATAGCCTGGTCATAAATAATCAGACTGGCAGAAGTGGGCTGGTTGAGGGTAGCCTAATACCTGGAGAAGGCAGTGCCCACTTGCCCCAATGAACCAGCCTCCAGTGGGACAGAAAGACCATTTTTACATGGCAAAGGACTCTCTCAAATTAAAGGAAGCTGTCTGTCAGAAGCTGAATATTTCAGCTTGCCTGCCATGGTCTGGCTTCATGTACTTGTTATTTGCTGGTATATAACATCTTATACAGTCATTGTTATTAACTGTCCTTGGGACATCTCCAAGCTTCCCTATCCTCCACTGCTCTGCTTAGGTCCTGCAAATTCTGGTCTGCGGCCTCTTTGAGTCTAGTCATCTGGCGTACAGTCTTCCTATCTTTCTGCTGCCTCCTGTCTTTCCCAGCATTGTTGTCTTTTCTAACAAGTCATGCCTTCTGGTGATGTGGCCAAAGTAAGACACCCTTAGTTTGACCATCTTGGTCTCCAGGGAGATTTCAGGCTTGATCTATTAAAGCAGGGGTCGGCAACCTACGGCCCGCGGGCTGGTTCCGGCCTGTGGACTGCCACTTACCCCACCGCCACCGCCCGCCACCTCCGCCGCATGCGTCGCAGCTGCCATTTTGGGAAACAAAATGGCTTCCACGACTCATTTGCACATGTGCAGTACTTCTGCGCATGTGCAAACGAGTTGCAGCCGCCATTTTGTTTCCCAAAATGGCAGCCGCGACATGTGCGGAGGCAGCAGCAGCGGGCGCGGTGTGAGCGTGCACGGCGGCGGGGCGTGAGCACACGCACTGCCATTCCCCCTCCTGACCCGCCAGAAGGGACCGGCCCCAGGTAAAAAAAGGTTGCCAACCCCTGTATTAAAGGATCCATTTGTTTGCCTTCTTGGTTGTTCACATTATCCTCAGCACTTTTCTCCAGCACCACATCTCAAATGAGTTGATTTTCTTCTTATCCACTTTTTTCATTGGCCAACTCTCATATCCATACATGGTGATGGGGAATACAATGGCTTGGATGATTCGAATGTTATTGCTCAGTTGTATATCTTTACACTTTAGAATCTTGTCTGGTTCTTTCATAGTTGCCCTTACCAATCCTAGTCTTCTTATTTCTTGGCTGCAGTCTCTGGTCTGATCGATGTTTGATCCTAGGTATGGGAACTCTTTAACTATTTTGATTTCCTCATAGTCTAGACTGAATTTATATAGATTCTCCATGGTCATTATTTTTGTTTTCATTATGTTCAGCATTAAGCCTTCCTTTTTACTTTCATCATTGACCTTCCTTAGTAATTGTTCTAAGTCTGTGATATTTTCTGCTAGTAGCTTGGTGTTGTCTGCATGTCTAGATTGTTGATGTTTCTTCCTCCTTTCTTCACTCCTCCTCCTTCTGAGTCTAAACCTGCTCTTTATATGATATTTTCAGCATACAGGTTGAACAGACAGTACTGCTGGTAAATAAGGGACGTATAATGGTGTGCTAATTGCTAAAAGCTGTTGACCACATTCATTTGTGAATAACAAGCAGATGGAAGGGAGTTGTGGCTGCCTTGAGAAGATCTAAGGACAGTCTCTTGAGAACTTCTGCAGTGGGAGAAGAAGGGGAGTTCCCATAGGAAAGAGAATGGAAATAATGTTTTGCTTTTGTAATGAATGAAAGGTAGCCAACCAAAGAACTGAAATTGTGTATGCTTTAATTGCTTTGCTACTGCTTGCTGGTTAGTTCTGACAATAAACATCTAAGGTGAACACTTGTCATTTCTGAATAAAGATTTTCTGAGTTTTTACTACTGACAGTGGCATCACTAGGGGGGTGCAGGGGTTCACATTGCACCAGGTGACACGCTAAGGAGGGGCGACACCACTGCTCCTCAAACACCTACTTTTTGGCAGAAATGGGATGTAGCATTCATCTGCTTCCCTTTAAAATGCTTTAAAAGAAGGTGGGAATGCGGTGAAGCTCAGTGGGAGGAGAAAGGAGAGGCACCAGAATTTTTTAAAATTCAAATTTCAAAATTTAAATTTTTTATTTTTTTTTTAAAAAATGAACAATTTAAAAACATTTCTTTTTAAATTTTCTTTAAAAACATCACATTTTAACCAAATATTCACTATGCATATGTAAATACATTTAGGTTGTTCATATGATATTGTAATTTGAAGGCATAATTTTAATTTTGCTAGTTGTTTATGTCACAACTATCAGCATTACACTCAGTGGGTGTTTGCAGACTGCTAGAAATAGTGCAAATTGAGTCCACTTTAACTGCCCTGGCTCAGTGCTAGGGAATCATGGAAATTGTATTTTTTTCTGAGACATTGAGCCTTCTCTGTTAGAGAGCTCTAGTGCCACAATAAGGGTCAGGGCAGTTAAAGTGGACTCAATTTGCACTATTTCTGGCACTCTGCAAAGGCCTAGTGTTATATGGGAATTATGATTTACGAGTAACATTAGTGCAAAAAAGCATTGCTAAGGATTCTGTATGGTGTGAAATGGGGAGAGGTCAATGGGGTGAGGAGACACCATGAGTTCAGATTCAAGGCAACCAATAACATTTGTTCGTAACATTCTGTTCAGTTTTAAAATATGTGACACTACGTCCTGAAGAATAAATGTCTATTTCACAAATATTTCACAGATCTTTCTAAGAATTTTCCTTGTGAAATGTTATAATGGGGAAAAACACCAACCTTCCAGTCTCCTGGAGGAAGAATGTGAATTACCTCCACTTGCAGTATTTACAAGAAACAATTGCAGCTAAGTTTCAATGACTGTGTATATACAGTTCTATGGATTTTTTGCACACTGCCAGTCTCTGTAACAGAAGCCAAAAGATGTTTTAACAAGCAGCCATCATCAAAAACTGCAGGCATTCCAGTATAGAGGTAAGAGTTAATCCAACAGCCATCTAGTCTATTGAGTATGGAAAGGCAAGAGAAATTGAATTCTTGGGGAGAGGTAATTTATGATTTTGCAGTTTAGAAGGAAGCAG